AAGAACTTTAAAAAAAGGACTGTCTGTTGTTCTTGAGGAATGAGGAGCTGATTCTTCTGCCTACTGCAGCTGGAACTCTCTCAGCCTTCTTTGCTCTGTTCTGTTTATCCCTTGAAAACAGCCAAGCATGGAGCCTCTTGGACCTTCCCTGGTTTTGATCCTGGCAACTAAAAGAACATCACAGGGTCAATGGGGACTTGCAAGTTTGCCAACCCAAATGAGAACGCAGCTGAAATACTAGGATGCTGCCATAAAACCTGCCTCAGTCCGCAGAGCTCTCGTTGCTGGAAGCCGGTGGCTGGGACCCAGTACTTTGCTGAGAAGGTACCACACTGCCCATTCGAACCTCTCACTGCCCATCTGAGTGACTAAGCGTAGTAACACTGAGCTTGCCCAAACATAGGTGGCGCAACAGTTTAACTAATCATTAAACTGTTAATTGTAAGACTGTAGCTCCATAGCTCTCCTTCCACCAAGTGTCTGCGTAGGCGCAGCTATGCTGATTTAGGAAGAGTAATGAAGAGCTGGGGTGTAAGGTCACCTCTAAACCCATGGCAGCTCCAATGAAAACAGCATCCAACTGCCCCAAAATGGGTGGTTCTGCCTGGCCAAGATCCTGTTTGAGCTGTACTTGCAGATGCAGGGTGAAATCAGTCTTACAGCCCTGCCAGAGCCCTCAAAACCTCTCATCCTTACAGCAATTAAGGGATTTTACTCTCATAATCACCCTCTGATAGGGAAAGCATGTGTTCTCATGTTACCAACTGTAAACAGATCTACAGGATTAATTAAGTGACTAGATTAAGGTCATGCAGGAAGCTGTGGTTGAACTGGAAATTTCAGTGCAGGCTTGCAAACCCTTGCCTGGCTCCCCATTCATTGACCAGCTGCCTGCCTGCAGGATCACAAGGCAGATTTGCATTTTCTGAAGTGCCCAGGCTGTTCCTGATGTTGGGGAATTGCATTACTGTCTCAAATTCCTGATTTCTATTATTTGATCTATTACATATCTCTGTGTCTTGCATTTGCCACTGTAAGAGACCATAAAAGATATAAAGAGATAATATTGTATCCCCAGACACTATGTGATGTGATTGTGGCAGCGGGAATACGAAAACTGTACTTAAGGCAGACTCATTTTAACACATTTGCCTTGCCAGTGTGACAGAGCCCTGGCACAGGCTGCCCAGAGGATGTAGTCTCCTCCTTGGAGACCTTCAAAACCCAATTGGATGTGGGCCTGGGCACTCTGCTCTTGGTGTCCCTGCTGGAGCTGGGGTTGAGCCAGGTGGACCCAGAGAACCCTTTCAGCCTCAGCC